ATCAAGCAGAGAAAGGAGCGTGTAGTGTTTTTTTTTTTTTTTTTTTTTTTTTTTTATGGTACACTGCCTTCTTCCCAGGAGAACCAGCGATTTTGTTCATTTTATAATAATCCTAGCTCATACCCAGCAAGCTTGCTTAGGGACAGTGCCTTGTGAAATGTGCTCACAAGAGGCCGGGGGGTGGGGTGGCTTGGAGAAAGAAGGTTCTAGTTTCTTTACCCCATAAACTTCCATGGGAATTTACCTGGTGTCCTGCACAAGGCTAGGTGCAGAGTAGCAAAGGCATATATATGATCCCTGCCCTTACAGAGCTCATTGGGAAGGAAACAAGGCCCAGGGGGTGAGATAACTAGCCCAAGCTCTGCACAGCCAGTAGCAGAGGCCTGTTTGAGGCCAGAACCCATGCTACCCATCGCATGGTTTCTTGGGGGAATGAGAAGAGAGTTAGTTGTGTGCTAATGAGGCACAGAGGCCTTGACTACCCATGGTTTCCTGTTTCTCTGTAGGTCCTCGAGAAGGGCTGCGCCTGGCGAGGAACTCCTGACTCTAGGGGAACTCTCCCTGAGAACTAATGAATGCAGGCTGTGAATGAATGCAGACTGTTAGAAGAGGTGGGACAGGCGAGAGGATAGGCAACCACCCTGGAGTGAGCTCTGGGTTTGGATTCCTTCTCCCCGCTTCCTTCACTTCTTAGTTGTGTAGCCAAGGACCCAGGCTGAGGAATTCTGGGGGCTCACAGCACCCCCACCCTACCCTACCATCCTGCAACCCAGGCCCTTCTGACCACCCATAAAATTTGTTTTAACATCTCTGAGAAGTGAATGCTTCCATTTTGGCTGTTCATATGCACTAAGGAAGAGACTGAGAAAGTCTATGCCTTCTGAAGGATTTTCCCCTCCCACTCACTCCCTCTCTCTCATGTTTTAAAAGATTACAGCCCAAGGATCTTCTAGTGGAATCTTCCTTCTACTGTGCTCCCACACACCCTGAACCTTCCACTGTGTCCGCCGTGCCAATCAAGCCCTGGCCCGCCATGACCTGTGCCCCTGCATAGCTGTTGGGTTTTTCCGCTGCTGAACACTGCAGAACAAAGTCAAAACACTGGCCTTGTTTAGTCGCCTGTAGACTCATGCTTTGTCACCTCAGCTGGGCCCTCACAGCTGCTCAGCAAGCTGTTTATTCAATGTGTGTTCGATTCTCACATTCCTCACGGCCACTGTCCTCCCTGCTGAAGGCTTCAGTGTCACCTTCCCACAGCTGAAGGCATTCAAGGGGATACCTTTGTCTCCTGTCTGATGGGCGAAATGTAGGCTGCCTGATGAAGCCTTTACTCTGAGGCCCACCTCATTTCCTCAGAATTATTTTCTCCATCTTCCCTGAGGAAGAGTCTTTTCTCTTTCCCAAGTCTCCTCTCTCAGCTGTCCTCATCGGCCCCTCTGGGTGCACATCCTGAGATCTGCCCCTCTTTGTTGCATTTTCAGAATCTACAGGAAGAAGAGAGATTCTTCATCTACCTCCACCCCCAGGGTGTTCTCATCCTAGCTTCTCTAAGGCAGCGCTCCTCAAACTTTAAGGTGCCTGAACATCATGTGATGATAGTGTTCAGATGCAGATTCTGACCCAGTAGGTGGTAGATAAAGCCTCAGATGCTGCATTAAGCTGGCAGGTGAGGCTGATGCTACTGGGCCACGGATCACACTTTCACAGTAGTTTCTAGGACAATGGTTCTCAAAGTGTGGTCCTTGGACCTGCAGCTTCAGCATCAGCCAGGACTTGCTAGAAATGCAAATTCTTCAGCCTACCCAACCCTACTAAATCTGAGGCACATAAAGTTTGAGAACCACTGTCTAGTCCATCTCTAGGCAGAACCACACCCAAAGTTTATAACAATACTTATAATTAAATAGCAACCCCCCTCCCCACGCCCCGCAACTAGTTCTTATGCCAGCCCTATGAAGTAGGCAGGAGTAGGGATTATCATCATGAGGCACAGAGAGACCAAGTAACTTACTCATGTTCCCACATCCTATGGCTGAGCTGGAACTGAAAATCAGTCTCTTAAAACCTAGCCAGGATACTCCTCACTCAACCAGTGGCTTCCCAACCCTTTAAGGCTGTATAATCTCACTGCCTTTTCTGCTGGCAGTATGGCGCACATGTTCTGGTGTTATAAGGCATACAGAAGTGAGGCAGTGGGCGCATGTGGGGCAAGCCTACCACGATAACCTATTTTCAGGGAACCCTTTGCTCCTTGAGAGTCCATGATTCCACTAAGTCCAGCTGCATCGCTCTGGATAGCGCTACCTCGGTGTTTCTACAAGAGAGCCTGCTTCCTCTCCTGGACACAGGGAATACTCAGGTGTGAAGAAACAAGCAAACCACCTCCACACAGCTCCAGCAGAGATTCCGGGAGACATTGGAGTCCTGGGAGGAGAAAGTTAGGAAGATGGGGCCCTCTCCCAAACAGGTGCTGAAAGCTCACCATATTTTTCCCAGCACCTCAGATATGTCCATCACGGTGCCTGCCACACCTAATGTCCTTTTCTAGATGGAACTGCCCAGCCCACAGCCTCTGCTCAGTGTGTTCTTTGCAGAGAAGCAGCTCCTGACTAGACTAGGGGTGGATATCTGACCTAAAGGAGGCCCACAAGGGGCTTGTTGGTGATCCAAAAGGTGACCAGGCCAATAGGTCAATCAAACCCGCTCCCTCCAGATGGTGGAGAGGGGACTGGTCAGTTGGTAACGAGAGGAACATAAAGCAGACAGATGTGCAGAGAAGCGGGGATGCCTAAGATGCACACATGCTGGCCAGAGTGTGGCTGAGGGCACTGGATCCCAGCACAGGCACCAGTCCACACCAGAGCCAACCTTCCAGCCCATGGGTTATCTTCCTAGCACACCCCTTTTTCTTAGAGAGTGCCTCAGGATGCCTGGAGAGCCACAGTCTGTGACTGTCCACTGCTGCCTAATGGCTCCCCCAGGCTGGGGGCAAGATGTTTCAACTATGGGCTGGAAGGAAGACTTCTAAAACGGTGCGCCCTGCTCCTTGCCGTCCCTAATTTTGTCTTCTAGC